CTGTACCGTCAATGTGGCCTGTTGAGGGGGGCCAATATGCTGAAGTGGCCCTCGGTGAAATTGAGTTTGACACCCCTGATTTAGGTGCAACAATTATAAATAAATGAATTATTGAAATTAATTAATATACTTTACTAATCCCAAGGGGAAAAGCATATTGATGGTACAGCTGTAGTCTGAAGGAAAAAAACAAAAGTTTCACATTTATACTGTGGCTGAGGGGGGAAAGAGTGAAGCCCCGGTGAAAGGCTTTTGACTCCATCCATCCATCCATTTTCTGAACACCCTCGTCCCTCAGTGGGGTCGGGAGGGGTGCTGGTGCCTATCTCCAGCTAACGTTCCGGGCGAGAGGCGGGGTACATCCTGGACAGGTCGCCAGTCTGTCGCAGGGCAGGCTTTTGACTCCTCTGGTCTTAATGAAGAGCTATACGTTTTTACTATTCAGTTCTTCCACCAATGAGACGGATATATACAATCGCATTCGTAATCCGAGGTTTCATTGTATTTTTCCCCACAAGCTAAATGGTATTTGTTTTAAAAAGGAGAAATAGAAATGAGAACAACACAAGGTCTTCTGCCTACAGCTTTCTTTGCTGCCTTTCATTTTCACTCCTTTGTAAATGGAGATTTGATACTTTTTCCAAAGAAATTAGGTCATTTCTCCTTTGCTTTTGAAACAGTTGTTTTCTACATTAAATTGCTCACAATAGTGCGCTTGTTACAACTCATTCAAGGAAGACGTGCAGTGTCTTTCAAAGAGGCTTTGCCTTAAAACCTTTTCACATTTTCACATCTCTGTATGGGACAGTCAGTTTTGCACGACACGGTGTTTTACATGTTTCCCCTATAAAAGTGATTTATATCTTAAAATGGTCTCTTCCGTCTTGCAGACAGCATCTTTCATGAGGACCTTTACTACAAGTCGGAGACCAGTCTTGATCTTACCTTCAGAAACGGGACTGTGCCCAACGGAAGCATGTACAGCAGCCCCAGTTTGAGCTCCCTCAATCGTTCCCAGACTTTCATCCCCCCTTCGCCCATGTCGTCCAACCTCAGCATCCCGGGCAGCGAGCTCATGCGTCAGGACTACATCCCCAACCACCGTCACAGCGCCATCATCGCTCCGTCGTACAGGCCCACTCCTGAGTATGAAGCGGTCATGCGGCAGAAGCGAAGGGTAGTCCCAGCTCACCACGACCTCCACAGCCAGTCGCTGCGCAGTTTGAACATTAGCAATGCCTGTGCTTACCGTAAACCAGAGGCTCTGGTGTACAGCCAGCCAGAAATGCGAGAGAGGGGCCCCTATCATGGCCCAGGACCAAACCCTGGACCTTACACTCCACAGGTAGAGCTAAATCCCAGATTACTAACTTTGTTTTCTTCACGTTCTGGTAAAATAAGCCAAACCTTTTTGTAATCTGTAACAATTGTTCTTATTACAGATTAGCTACAGTAAGCCAGTGTCCCATGGGCACCATTCGGGGGGCCCAGCCAACAGCCACGGTCCATGTCATTCGCCCTGCATCAACGGTGTCGGAGACAGCAGCGGAGATGTTGGAAGCTCAATCTCCCACACTGTTAGCACACCGGAGCTTGCAAACACCAAACAACAAGGAGCCAGCATGGGAAATTATGCAGTTAATGCTAATATGCTAAGAAACCATATGTCAAGACCTCCACCACCGTATCCTTCTAGCTCTTTCCGCCCGGCGACCAGCACGCCAGACCTGGCCAGCCACCGGCATCGCTGCATCGGTGGCAGCAGCCCAGAACTGGTCACCCGCATGGTGCAGCTCTCAGTCAAGACCTTCCAGCCGGACAGCTCGGCCGTGGTGCATCAGTCCCTGCAGGAAGTTAGTGAGCCTTTAACTGCAGGCGCTAAGCACCGCTCCGCCCTGGACAAGAGGCATAGCATGGAGTTCATCAGCAGCATGAGGGGAGGCGGTATCGAAGGCTTGGCGATGAAGGGTATGAACACGGCTCTTCATCGGAGGAATACTCTCAGAGAGCAAGTGATGCCATCTCAACCTCAGCCCCAGCCGCAGCCGCCGCCTCAGCAGCCAAAGGAGCTTCCCATGCAGAAACCTTCCCAAAATGCACCTGAGGCTGCAGCGGCGCCTCCCACAGGAGTGGCTTACCAGCATCAAAAGACTCTGTCCAATGCCACCATGCTCATACATAGCAGTGAGAGCGAGGAGGAGGAGGAAGAGGAGAGGCCCGAGCTGGATGTTCAGATCCCAGGCCTCAACGACAACATCAGCATCAGTGCTCAGCTCCAGGCGGCTCTGGCTAAACTGCCTAACAAACCCCCTCCGGAGTACCCGGGCCCTCCTCGAACTAACGCCGGCTCTCAGATCCACGGGCCCAGTCACAGCGCCGCGCACCACCACAACCACGATCTGACGCCACACTGCAACCAAGGACCTATGGACCTGACTCTGACACAAGGTGTCGGCGGACCCGTGGCTGGGAGTGGTGCCGGTGGGGGCGGGACGCTGACCAGAGGGGATCAGAGCGGGGTAAACGGAGCAGTGCTGGGGCCGTCCATTTCAGAACCAGACCTGACCAGCGTGAAGGAGAGGGTGAGGAAGGAGCCGGTGAAAGAGAGGCCGGTGTCCGAGATGTTCTCGTTGGAAGACAGCATAGTGGAAAGAGAGATTGCTCAGAGGGTAAGAACGTTTTCACTTTTCCTCTCAGCTAATGCATTTCATTTGGACTTCACATGTGAGGCAAACAGAGTGTGGCTCGTCGTGGAGGAAAAATGTTCATAGTTTCCATGATTATTTGTGCATGTTTTGAACATTTGTATTCAGCCTAAGTAAGTCACTTACAGCTGTTAGGACTGAAATCTTTGCCCACTCTGCAAAAAGTTCAAGTTCGATCAGATATGCTACAGATTCTCACTTAAATATCTGACCGGCTCATTCTAAAAGTTTTAAGGCTTTTGCAGTTTTTGAAGGTGATGAGTACTTGGAAAATTATGTTGATGTTAATTGTGGACTCAGCAGGGGAGGAAAAAAAAGTTTTGTCTCACTTTACAGGATTCATTCTATTAGTAATTGAGTAAAAATAATAATAGTGCTGGATTAAGAATAGCAAAAAAACTGCTTTTATGACTAAATGCATTTAGTCATACTGAGAACTTTCTTCCTCAGTTGCGTTTCTCTATGGGTTAACTGATGGTATCATTTAGAGTCATGCTTTAAGGTCCTTCATCTTCCACAAAAATGCAAATAATTAGTATTTGTGTGTTATTGTGTCTCATTATATTTGCATTTCCAACTGTAGTTAGTATTTGTTATTTAGGCACCGACTCACCTTTAATTGGACAAATGAACCCGTCCTGGTACAGATGTTAAACGATATCATCTGTTGTTTATTTGCTGGTTTCACAGCTTTTGATTAGCAGTAATCTGGGTTTCAGCACACAACAAGGCAGCACTGGCCTTTGAAAATCCCTGCAGGCAGCCAGAAGCCCGTAGAAATCCCTTAGATTATTTTTTCGAGTGGGGCGTTATCGACCCCACGCCTGAATCCTGGAATGGATTTAATCGCCTGTTGGTGACAAACCATTCTCTGTACGACTGACCTGGATGCAGGTTTAGTTTGAAATTCTCTCTGAAAGGCTTTACTCCTGTCCAAAGCTGCTCACACATATATCTACCTGCTGGCTTATCTGATATGTAGTGGTACCCAACCCCCCGACCCTCAAACCCCCTCAAGCTGTTGTTTTGACTGTCCCACAGAGGATGAAGGGGGCGGGGCTGTCTTGATGGCTTAACAGCGTTGCAGATTAGGCAAAGTAATCCTGGGTGGAAGGAGGGACTGTGCAATGTTGCTCAGAGTTTGACAAAAGTGGATGAGCTCCTTGTAAGAAAGGAAGCTTCAGAGGTAGGTGGATAAAATAAAGAAGAACAGACATTTAAAAGTGTGTTAGTAAAGATAAATATGGGCAAAAGAAAACGGGACACATGACTGTTACCGCAGGATTCGATCCGTGGACTGGCATTAAAACCTCCATCCCCAGTTCTGGTCGTACGCATGTGCAGACAGAGGTTGCTTGCCTTTGCCGCCAGTCACCATGACACCTGGATTTTCTTCTCTCTTGAAGACGCTAGAAAGACAGAAGATGTCCGTGGACTCCATGAGGAGGCCCCTGATGATGGCAGCGCTGAACGGCCTTTATGTGGCGAGGATGCCCGTCGCCAGGAATCAAGCTGAGGAAGGCGCCAAGTCGACGTCAGACGAACGGGTAAAATCTCTGCTTTCATCAGAACATTGTGATGCGTCTTGAAGAATTAGAATGATGTCCTTCATGCTGGTTGAGCTCCAACAAGATGATTGGCAGCCAATGTCACAAAACTTCATTCTTGCTTAATTGACATCATTTTGCAGGAAAACTTACTCTGCTTGTGTACTTGGCTGGGAAAGCAAATATTTGTGTATTCCTTTTGAATCTCAGTCATGCAAATATTTATTTAGAAGAAAAACGTGACTGACATCAAACTCATTCAGCCAATTATAAAGAACGCCAAGCTCAATTTCAAGCATTTTACACATTATTTTTGGTAAAATTTTTGTGTACCGTGAATCTAAAATTTCAACTCGTTATTCTGTTTGCTCCATTTTTGATTTGGAGGGCTGTGAAACCCAGTTTTTGTCCCAGGCTGTTGCCAGGCTAACGGGGGCAATCCCCTAAGTGGGCTGTGGAACGCATGGCACGGTGCAGCTTATCGTCTCTGGGCTGGCTGCTATGCAAAGAATGTGACCCGGCAGAGTGTGAGCAAGAAAAAAAAAGAAAGAAAATATATTCTGCTAGTCATATAGACATGACTAGCCTAATAAACAGCTCAGCTGTAGACTTCTACTTTGCTTTCAGCAGTGGCAATGCACTTTAAATGTTTGAAGTTCTCCGATACCAATGGTCTTGCTCTGAAATGCTCGGGACTTAAAGGCCTCTTTGTTATGAATGGTTTGTCAGAGGGTAACCTAACCTCTTCCGTCTGATCACCTTCAGTGTGAAACCTTAGAGCTGAAGCTGGAGGAGGACCGGGTCTTCACAGAGTACGAGCAGGTGCCCAAGAAGAGGACCGACTGCCTTCTCACCACGGCAACGCTGCCCGAAAACGCAGAGCGCAATCGATTCCGCGACGTCATCCCGTACGAGGAGAACCGGGTCGAA